AGAGAGAGAAGGAAGCAGGCTTCCTGCTGAGCAGAGAGCCCGATGTGGGACTCGATCCCAGGACCCTGAGATCATGACCTGAGCCGAAGGCAGCGGCTTAACCCACTGAGCCACCCAGGCGCCCCAAGATTTTATTTATTTATTTGACAGAGAGAGAGAGAGCGCAAGCACAAACAGGGGGAGTGGCAGGCAGAGGGAGAGGGAGAAGTGGGCAGGGAGCCCAATGCAGGACTCAATCCCAGGACTCCAGTATCATGAACTGCGCGGTAGGCAGACACTTAACCTACTGAGTCGCCCAGGCACCCCTCAAATAAATAAATCTTTAAAAAAATTTTTTTTAAAAAGGAAAGGCAAGAATGACATATAAGTTAAAGATTTTTTAAATATGCAAAACATCTTTTAAATGGCCTCTGGAAGTTTGTACCTCCTGCAAAGGAATCTACGCTCCTGGTCGGGAGAGCCTGCAAGTGTCCATTGTCCAGGGCAAGGCAAGGGAGAAGTTTCGTTGCCATCCACAGGACTCCCAAACTGTCATTTTTAATGTCCTTCTGCGCTGCAAGGAGTCAGAATTGGTTGGTGAGTTCTGCCTTCCCTAGAAAAATTCCTTAGAAAGAATGTCAAGGGTGGTTATGAGCATGTGTTTATTGACATTTTCTTAAAAGTGCCAATTCTGATATCCTGAAATGCAAGGACACTTTGCTTCTTTTCCTGGCTAGTCAAATTTACATCCTCACTACCTTTGCCCCCAATTTGGGCATCTTCTAAGCTGACTGGTTCTTTAGTAGAGAAACAAAAAGAAGAGAGAAAAAAAAAAGGAAGGAAGGAAAGAAAAGGGAAAGAAGGGAGAAAAGGGAAGGAGGGAGGATGGGAGGGAGAGAGGGAAGGAGGGAAGGAGGGAGACAAGCTGTGGTTTTCTGGAAGGGTTTATTCTCTAATGTCATAGAGGCCAAAAGGTATTGGGGTCCCTCTCTCCCAGAACTGAAGCTCAGAGAAATATTTACCAGGTGAATGGTTTTGCTTGATTGCACTTTGTCTAGACTGAACCAGAAGGTCTGAAAAGACATACACAAATAGGAAGAAAATTCTTGGCCATCGTGGTGGTACAGGTTGTTCCATTTCACTGTTATGTAAGCATTCGGGAATGACAATAGTGAGCGTCATCCACAGGGCATCATAAGGTAGGCAGCCGCCCAGTCCCTGGGACCATGACCTCGACCACCCCCTCCCCAGCCCCAGGAAGGGCATTTTTCATCAGATGGTACCATGTGGCCACAGCCATGAGAGACTATAGAATTCTTTTTTTTTAAATAACATTTGTGTTTTCTATATAAACCTTAAACCTTATTTTCCCACGGTCTATCAGGGTTTTCCATGTGAAAGAAACAGGGTACGGTCTACATCGAAGTGAGACATGCATCCTGAAAAGTGAACCATGCGCCAGTGGACAATTCTACAACCAAGCCCGTGGAGTCTTCCTTCCGCCTCCTTTAGTTACTTGTCTTCAGCTGAAGGATACCGTTCTCCCGACTTTTAACATCACAGTTTCATTTTGGCCAATAGGACGGGTTTCAAGGTCATGGATACGCCTCAGCAAGGACATTCTGCTGTTCAAGCTGGGAGAATCCGTGGGACCCTGGGTCCAGCCTACAGGTGACATTCAGGGTGTGGGAGGAGAATGCCTTTGGTTTCAGCCCTCTGCTCTCTGGAATCTGGGATCTGTGCAACACTAGGGCAAGTCACTTCTCTGAGCATGAAAGAATGTCCCTCCCCCCCTTTAAGGGGGAATAACACTGCTGCTTCCCAGGATTAGAGAAGCCAAAACAGGGCTGAGAGCACCTCGCACAGAGCTATGCCCTCACCATAGTGCACCTGTACAGTGGGGATGAGACCGGAGGCTGCCTTTCTTTGTCACCCCCATTTTTCTGGAGCTTCTTGCTCCCCACACCCCATGCCTTCGTCCTCCTGGGCCGAATGCTGAAACCTTCTGACCTCACCTGACACACAGCCCTCCCCTTCAGACACCTCCACGGGGCGGGAGCGGCTCCTCCCCACACCTCCCCAGGCTTCCTTCCTGACTTCCTGGGATGAGAGGGGAGCAAGTCCCGCTGTTCCTCCCCTCACAGGCCAGGAAACCGGCTCCAGGGTGGGGAGGGTCTTGCCCAGCGTCACAGGGCGAGGGCACAGCTGGGACCAGAGCCCTGACTCCTGACCCTGTTCTACCCTTTGCTCTCTGTCACCCGGGGTCCTCCTTTCTGCCCCTTGTCAGCTCTGCAGGTCAGTGTGACAAATCCCTGTTTGTGTGGCAGAGCCCGAAGTGTGGGTCCAGCCACCCACCCCACAAAAAGAGAGATGGCAGGAGTCGAAATACAAGTTGAATGAAGAGTTTCGTTTAGTCCATGGATGTTTTCGCTATGCAATAGGGAACACACAGACATGATTAAACTTCTTCAGATTCGTAAAGAATATACAGTGAGAATTCTCCCCCGACTCCCGCCCTCCATCTACAGAATTCTCTTCTTCTCCGAGTAACTCCTGTTCTTATTTTCTCCGGCATCCTTAAAGCAGCTTTCTAATGCCTGTACACGCAAACTAGATCTGTGTGACTTCCCCCTACTCTTTAAAAAAAAAAAGATTTTATTTATTTATTTTGGAGAGAGTGAGCTGGGGGTGGGTAAGATGGGGGAGAAGCAGCAGGAGAAGAAGAGATAGTCTGAAGCAAACTCCACACTGAGTGCAGAGCCCAAGGTGGGGCTTGATCCCATCACCCTGAGATCAGGACCTGAGCTGGAATCAAGAGTTGGATGCTCAACCCACTGAGCCCCTAGGCGCCCCTCCCCCCTCCACCTTACATGGAGGGTAACTTGCTGTCTTCTTTACAGTTTTCATTGACCCACGTATGTGGGGGAGCTCTACACATCAGCACACCAATAGCCTCTGCATTTCTTGGTCTGGGCTCCATAGTATTCCTTCATACGCCTGTGTTACGTTATTGAAAAGGAATCCGTAGCCCATAAAGTTCACCCACTTAAAGTGCACAATTCAATGGCTTTTAGTGTATTCACTAAAGAAGAGTTGTGGAACCAGCACCACGACAAATTTTTGAACCCTGAAGTCCCTGAAGGAAACCTTGTACCCTTAGTTATCAGGTCTCAAGCACTACCCCAACTGGAGGAAACCACGAATCTACTTCCTGTCCTTCTAGATTTGTCTGTTCTGGACATTTCCTACACAGGCAATCACGCACTAGACTGTTCTTTGTGACTGGCTTCCTTCACTTGGCTTAACGTTTTCTTTCCTTTTCTTCTTAAGATTTTATTTATTTATTTGAGAGACTGAGAGAGAGCATGAAAGGAGAGAAGGAGCAGGGAGCCTCGATCCCAGGACTCTGGGATCATGACCTGAGCCGATGGCAGACGCTTAACCAAGTGAGCCTCCCAGGCACCCTGGCTTAACGTTTTTAAGCTCCATCCGTGTTGTAGCATGCGTCAGCACTCCATTCCTTTTCACCGTCAAGTAATACTCCATTCTAGGGATCGACGGTATTTTATTCACCCCTTCATCGAGACATCAAGACATTTGGACTGTCTTCTTGGTGCAGCCATGACTTATAATACTGTGAATATCCATACGCAACTTTTTGTGTGGGTGTATGTGCCATTTCTCCTAGATACGTGCCCAAGACTGGAACGGCAGATCATACAGCCTATTTGATAATTTACTTGTCTAGTCTCATGTTGATGACAATTTTATTAAATTACATCTTACTTTTTTATTTTGTTAATTTTTAATTTTTGTTTTTTAAAGATTTTATTTATGTATTTGACAGAGAGAGAGAGCACGCACAAGCAAGGGGAGCGGCAGGGGCAGAGGGAGAGGGGGAAGCAGGCTCCCCACTGAGCAGGGAGCTCAATGTGGGGCTCAACCCCAGGACCCTGGGATCGTGACCTGAGCTGAAGGCAGAGGCTTAACTGACTGAGCCAACCAGGCTTAAAGATTTTATTTATTTATTTGACACAGAAAGTGCTCATGCAAGGTGGGGGAGGAGCAGAGAGAGACAGGGACAAGCAGACTCCACACTGAGCATGTGGCCCAATGCGGGGCTCGATCTCACAACCCCGAGATCATGAGCCAAGATGAAATCAAGAGTCAGATGTTCAACCGACTGCGTCACCCAGGCTCCCACCAAATTACATCTTAAAAGCCAACAACCCTTACAAGTTTGGCAGGTGCTAGTCTTGGTGAGGATTCAGGAGTGGGGCTGGGAACATTGGCTGCTCAGAACCTGCCGAAGATCGCTGCTTTTCTTTTCTCTCAGCCTCTTATTATTCTAGCACTTTCTGGTTAAATGTACTTAGATTCCAGTGTGGGCTGTGACTCAGAAGAGTGGGGAAGGGAAGTGCCACTCCGCATAGCCTGGCCTATCGGCCCACTGATCCCTGAGGGGGTGTGTCCCACCCCCAACCCCATGCCTGTGCCTTCCTGGCTGGATTTCCTCATCCGGGAGACAGTCCAAGAGGAAGCTGGTGACTCCTGACCCTGGCGTTTCCTGACCCTATGACAACAGGTCTCTACCACACCTGACCATCTGGCACTCCCAGGACAGGTACAGAAGAGGGGAGTTCAGGAACCAGGAACCATCCAGGCTATGAGCTGATGAGCCAGCCTCCGGCAAGCCTCCCAGCCTTGCAGGCCTGGATGGGACCTGGGAGAGCTGGAAACTCCTTGGTACCAGCATGTTTGTAAAAATTCTTTTGCTTTAGACCCTCTCAACACATGTAAGCCAGGAAGTGCTTTGTATTCTGAGCCAAAAGCAGACAGATCGATTGTGATCCCCTGATGAACTAGAGAAAGATAGTTGGAGTCTTCTCTGTGAAGTTTCTATTTGGCACTGCCTTAAAACACTCTGGGTATCATGTTACTCCCTGCTCAGGAACCTCTGGGCAGCCGGGCTTCATTAGAACTGTGACCACCTGCAGGGAAGACTTCTCCTTTTATCTCCTCTGTCCATGCCGCTTAAACTTGCCTCCCCAAGAGTCAAGGAAAAGACCGCCTCATGGAACGTGAGTAATTGGCGTGGATACAGGGATGGGCTCTTCTAGAAGGACTGCTGTATTTTCCATCAGTAAATTATAAGTGCAAAATGCACAGAGGAAAATGTTTGTCTCTCTACATGGTATGTCTATCCATTAAGGTACAACCAACTTATTCTTATTTTTTTTAAAAAGAAAAGAATAATGGACTGCAGTAATTAATATAGTGAGATTCTTTCAAGTGGAAATGGAAAGGTTTTAAAATAATGTAATGTCCTGTAGTTCTTGCGTGGGTGTATTCTCTATGTATTCGAACATATCACATCATTCTATAACAACTCTTGAAAAGGTCTGGGCTTATAAACATGTGTTCTTTTGCTCTAATTGAGATTTATGATGTCCTTGTTGGGTTGACTTTTTTGTAGTTGTTGTTGTTAATAATGATGGGAATTTTCCCCCATCCATACTTCAAGTTGTCAAGCCCTTCCACCAACGGTGGTATAAAATTCTTCATTATTGTATTGTTTATTATGGGTGACCAATTTTATACAATTAAATCTGTTCATGTAGGCTTTGTCACATGTGGTTTATAGAGTTATTTTTAAACTGTTTCTCCCTTCATCTCAAAGTAATAAGATCATTCGCTTATTCCGGCAATTAACTATAATAAAAAAGAAATACTAACCTCTCTGCATCTTGCATTAGTAAAATGAATTAGCAACAAACAAATGCCAGATAGGTAGCATTTGGGGAGAAGCTGTGGTCCATGCAGCAGGCTCTGGGCTATACCCCATGACACATCTGAATGCCTCTGTGTTTGCAGAGGGCGAGAAACAGGGATTTGAGCCAGTGAAGTTCAATCAAAAAATGTCTCACAGTTTTATGTACTATTTCTGTGGCTTTCATTTCATGTGCACTGGCTCTTCGAGGAGAGAAAACAGTTTTGAATTAAACAGCAATTAAGATTTTAATCTTCTGGCCTTGGAAGGGCACACAGTGTCACTACCCAGGGGCACTTCTCCAAGGAGACCAAGAAAGTGTCCACTTATATCCTTTCCTTTTAAAATCAACTCCTTTTTGAAGATAAACATACATGGTACGAAATGTACAAAAGGGCGCTAGTGAAAAGTATGTCTCATCTTTCAATTCTCTTCCCCAAGGGCAACTATAGGTACCGACTTCTTGTGTATTCTCCCAGAGATATTTTATGCATATATGAGCTTCGAGCAAATATCATATCCTCCCTTCTTTTATGCACATGATTGCACACTATACCATGGTTAGTTCACTTTTTCATATATTCATATTTAGTATCTGTCCTCCCAAAAATCTCTCTTTATATATGTGTTGTTAGACTCCTGCCCATTCAACAGAGAGAGCCCCTTGAAGCAGTACCCCCCTCTCCCCCATGTTTCTCTCTGATCATTGGCTTGGCCAGGCAGCCCTGAGCCCAGGATGCTGGGTCTCATCTGGATCTCTCTGTTTCTCAGTGACCAAGTGGACACCTCAGGGAGCCCCCAACCAAACCCAGGCCAGCACTGGTCTCAGCTCCCTGCTGAGGGACCACATGGAGGGGAGGAGCGGCGCCAACTCCACCAGGGCCCTGAAACTTCCAGATGGGACCAGCGCCGCCTGGTACATTCTCACCATCATTGGCATCTATGGAGTGATCTTCCTCTTCCGGTTGGCCAGCAACATCCTCAGAAAGAACGATAAATCCTTGGAAGATACTTACTACTCCAATCTGACCTCCGAACTCAAAAAGAAAGGTCTCCCGAGCAAGGGGGCTGAAGGTTCTGCACTGACCATCAGCAACAGAGCTGTCCTGCAGCCCGGCCAGGCCAGCCTGGGGCCAAAATATAAAAACAGTGAGTGCCAAACTGAAATCCAGGGGATCCCTTGAAAGTCAAGGCACACTGAACTCCACAGAAGAGGCCCAACCTTCCTACCAGGGGAGGCAGCTTTGAGTTTACCTGGAACCTTGAGAGAGGAGTCGGGCCCTTGAATGGGGCTGGAAGAGCATCCCTGGGGCACTTAGGACAGAGGGAGTGTGACCGGAGCCAGCGTCCCGTTCCTTCTCAGGCTTTGTGGCACTTTGAGACAGGACAGCAGGGGCGGCAGCTTCTGGTCATACCCTTCCCCAGGAAAGCTTGCATTCTGGGGAAGGACTTGGAGCAGTCAGTGTTCTCAGAGAATCTAGGAGATTCCTGAGGGTATGTGTGAAAGTAGCCTCTTGTCATGGAAAGAAGACCGAATTCGGAATCGAGCACCCTGGATTCAAGTTTTCAACTTCCAGGGGGTCACATGAACTTTGAATGACTTGTGGCTCTCACCTAGAACACATGGCAGTGGGCTGTATGGTTTCAAAGAGCCATTCATTCTAGATGTTCTCACTTGACTATAGAACCAAGGTTGTTAATAACAGAAGTTAGAAATTCATTTTCATTGAGGTCATGGCATCTATTGAAAAAGAGCATTGGTTCTGGAGTCAGAAGAATCAAACTCTAGTCAAGGACACTTTGATGTCCTTGAACACACCACCTCATTTCTCTGGACCTTAGTTTGCACACAGATAAAATGAGAATGATAATGTCTATTCTGCCAATCTTATAAAATAGATAAGAACTAATGAAATCATGCACATAAATTTATTTTTCAAAGTAAAAATAAATATGTAAAATATAAGCCCTGCGTTCATAGTGGTGATGGTAGTTGATGCTGATGGTGGTATCAGTGTTAGTGGTGATCATAGTGATGGCTGATTCTAGTGGTATTGATGGTAGTGGTTAGTGTTCATGGTGGTGTTGGTGATAGTGCTGATGGTGGCAGTCAGTGGTTGATGTTGATGATGGTCATGCTGGTGGTGGTTCATGTTGATGGTGGTGGTAGTGGTAGTGTAGTGGTGGTCAATGTGGATGATGGTGGTGGTGGTTGATGGTCGACTTTGATGGTGGTAGTGTTGGGTTGTGATTTGATAGTGGGGGCTGGTGGTTATACTATTGTGGAAAAGGACATGACTATTCCACTGGCAATTAGTCTGCAAGCAATGGCTACAGTACCTTGTTCTATAAGAGAACCAATCTGCAAAACAGTTGATGACCTGAGCTCTGAATCAAATCCATGAGATTCAAGTTTTACATGTAGACAAAACAAAAAGTTACTTTTAGGTTTTGTTATATTAGACATCATATGATTTAACTCAAATGTTTTATAAATATCTGTTACTTATATACTTGTCTCAGACTAAAAAGAAATAAGACCTCGCCTAGATGAGTAATTAATTTAGAGAGAGCGTGATTAGCTGAACTTCCACAAGTGGCTTTCAGCAGGCAAATTGATAAATTATATGTTATACCAACATCTATGAAGTTTATCCAGCTCCGTTTTTGGAGACATTCCCTGGACTACAACTAAAATAATTTTTTTTTCCTGTCTGAAAACAGTGGTCTGCAACCAGCGCCACAATTTCATAAAGGTCAGAATTAAACCCCAAGCTTATGTTTTTGGAGGATAAGGTCGACTTCCAAGTATTTTTCTTTTTTTCTTTTTTAGGTTATCCAACAAAAGTGTTGGCTTGTCTATATAGTTAGGGCTGGGTATCATCCATATGTTTGAGATGCTTATAGGGCAGGATAAAACAGAAGAAAGAAATAAAGACAAAAATGTAATCCACAGCAAATAGGAACATGGAATGTATTACAATAGGAGTGTAAAGTCAGAACTTCACTAAATCTGAAAATTCAATACTTTCTTGTTGGTTGCTTCCCCAGCAGGCATTTCCCCCTTTCTTAACACAACCACCCTTAATTTGCATTTGGAGATCCATAAGGCACTGAGGAAGCTGAAACTACTCCTAGCTCAAGGGCTGAAATAAGAGACATAGGTTAGTCCAATCAGTATTTTGCATTTCCTGGCTTCACTGATTGGGTCCAAGATGGACTCATGTCTTCAGGGAGCTGGTCCACCCACTCAGAATGACTGGAAAGATTTTAAAGGGAGATCCTGGGACATTAAAGTTCTGTCTTGCTCAGGACAGTGTTAAATGCAGATCTGAGCCTGTAACTGCTGGAGCCTTTTTGCCAACATTAGAAAAGCCAACTTGAGGGCAAAAGCCAACATAGGCAAGGAACTAAGAAAATCATAGAGACTAGAGTCCCAATCAAACTGTCCTGAAGCCTTAAGTTGCCACAGGACTGTTTCAGTTTGTGAGCCAATAAATTTCCTTTATTAAGCTTTCTGACCCCTCTCAACCAAAAATATCCTATATGATACTACTGGATAAATAATTTCCTGAGGGAAGTGGGCCTTGAAGTAACATTTGAAAAGGGGAGCAATGTGATGTGGGATCCCTTGGGATCCCTTCTTTCACCAAGTTTTTTGTATTTCTAGGATTTTTGTGTTTTAGGCAAAAGAAGATTTGGTATTCTTCTTATGTCAGCTCAATGATCACTTTTAAGACTTCACATCATTTGACCTCTCAAGAAGCATTCAATGTAATTCTGTTCCATTTAATCCCCAACTCTTGACTCAAGTTCCCAAAGAGGACTTGTCATGTTAGACATGTGATCAGGAACAGGCTCCTACGGTGTTTCCTAAGGGGCAAAGCCTTTATCTTCCCATTGACACTCAGATATCATTAGTTACATGAGATCCAAGGACATTTTCCCAGGACACATAACTGTTTCTTGATCCAAATTAACCTGTTTTCCCAGAGCTGTTCTGACAGTTTGCATGGAAGATGTGTTCCTGGATGGGGACAACATCCATGAAGTCCCCATTTTAAGCAAGACTGGTGGGACACAAGTATTATGATTATTTTATGCAAAATGTCTTAAATCTAAAATGCTCAGGCTGAGAGAAGTCCACAGCTATCTTGGCAAACCCCACGTAGCTGGACTAGTAGGAAAGGTACTAGGACCACCGTGTGTGGGTGTTCAGTTCAGCAAGCGGGGAAGAGATTTGCACATTCCATCAACCCTCGTGGAAACAGGAGTAGAGAAAGCTGATTCCCAACATTCCAGACGCCTTTTCTTTCTTTGTCTCTATCGTAAGTTACCCCCAAGATTAGGGGATCAGGTCAGATAAAGACATTCCTCTGAAATGGAAATTATTTAAAATCAATGCAGAATGGATCTGGTTAACAGTTTCCAGGAATGGTTCCTCTGGGGATTTGTGGCTGATGGTGCCATAATTTCTACCAAATCAAACCCAGGTTACCAGAGTTTTCCTGTGTGTTTGGAACAGTTCTATTCTAAATGGAATTCTAATCAGCTCAGCTGCATTTTCATGTGTGATGTAATTATCACAACATTTTATTTTATTTTCTTTATTTTTTTAAGATTTATTTTAGAGAGAAAGAGACAGACAGTGGTGGGGAGGAGGAGGGACCAAGGGAGAGGAGAGAGAGAATGCCAAGCAGACTTCATGCTGAGTGTGGAGCCGGAGAGAGGTCTCAATCCTAGGACCCTGAGATCATGATCTGAGGTGAAACCAAGAGGCAGGTGCTTAACTATGCCAGCCAGGCACCCCATCACATTTTAAAACAATAATTTAAAAAATTAAAGACTAAATATTTGTCAGTATTTATCAGCTGTTCCTAGAGTGGCTGGTGGCTCTGATCCTTTTAACTGATTCTGATTGTCTAGATTTCCACTAGAGCAGAAGAATGTCGACTCACTCTTCAATTAAAGTTCTTCTCTTGGCAACAATAGAAACCGACTGCAGCCAACCTTATGACCTCTCCCCCCAAAAAGAGGATTTGAGAAGGCAACTGGGGAAGCTCGAAGAATCAGAAGGACAGCAGCATATCCAGGCCTCAGGAAGGAGAAACGTTAGTCTGCTCAGAGCCTTCCCTCAGAGGCCCCTGCTGGAGAACCTTGTTTCTATGGTCCTCCCAGAAGGTGGCTCACCTTCCATGCTGCCTCTCTGCGCCTCTGCTCAAGTGTCAAATGTCAGAGAGAATATTGCTTTGGATCAGGTACAGCAGGTGTCTACCCCTTAGACCAATCATCGAGGGTGGGCCCAAGGAATAGAGAACTCTGGCTGAGGCCGAGTCATGTGCTCCCTTCTAAGGAGAAGTCTGTGGAGAAAAATGCCAATAAAAAGACTGTTGCCCAGGTGTTACCTTCCTTGAAAATGTCTTGACCCTTAAGGCAGAACTGGTGTCTCCTCCAGGGCTGCTCTAACACTTCATAAACACTTGGATGAGCCAAAGTGAAAATTTTATTTAACAGAATCTCTCCAAGGCTGGGAACTGCATTTGTTTGCCGAGTGTTTGGTACAGGAAGTGAGACCCCAAGGGCTCATGAACGTGGGGAACCATTCTACAGGAGACCAAGAGAAGAATTCCCTTCTCAAGGGAAGGAGAAAAGATACAGTGGGGGGAGTAGGTTAGGGACCTAGCAGGATGGCAGAACACATTGAGAAATGTCTTTCCAGTGACTTGCCCATCACCAGAGAAGGACAATCATAACTTAAGAATAAGGACAAGATGATGTGAGGGAGACCTGACTGTGACATCTGTCACCTCATTGATCACCAGGGTTGATTTTGACTGATCTGGCTGGCTAGGTGGGTGTCCCCATCCTCCCTCCCCACTCCATGTGCCCCCCTCCCAAAGCTGCATACTGGATCAAAGAGGACAACCTTCCCCGACGGAGGAGGGCCATTCTTCGGTCAAGGATATAGGAGTAGCTGCCCACTCCCCTCCTCAAACCTCAAGATGTCAAGCTCTCAAGAATAAGGACAAGAATAATTTTGACATTACCAATTCCTTGCAAAACACAGAATCAATATTTGCTGAATGAAGAAGGATGCACTAGTGTGTCAGTTTCATTACTTACAATGAGAGCTATTTCCTTGGGAACAATAGGTCCTAACAATTTTCACTGGGCACTTCTTCTGGTGGAAATGTCCAGTCCCCAGACAAAATCTAATGAACATTGAATTTGAACAAGGAAATTTGTTGTTCTTAAGGAAGAAGGTCATTCCAGCAAGCAAAAGTAATTGGATCACTATTGTTCACAATCTCTCTGTGCATTTACAAAGTACATTTATCGGTCTCTCTCACTTGGGTC